ATCTTTAATGGCACCAGACATATATGAGGTGCACCTACATACCTGTAATCAGGGTGAATCTCATACACGTAGGCAGAGTGCACATATATACATGTAAGTAGAATACTCAAGCACACAAAATAAATAAATAAATCTCTAAAAATTAAAAACAATAGGGTGGAGAGTGATTGAAGACGTCACCTAACATCAACCTCTGACCTCTGGTCTCTACTGTGCACATGTACACACACACACAGACCCAAGTTAGGACCTTGAAATCTGTACTCAGAGAACTAGTTAAAACTTCCAAATACCAAATTTGTTTAATATTTAAAGTTGTAAATTGTTATTTGAAATTTAGCAGGTTTCCTGAAATCCTATTCCCCGTGGACTCTACTCCAGTGTTCCCAGGAGCACGTGCGGCCCTTTCCTTCTGTGACACAGACTGAGCTTTGGTGTGATCATCTGTAGACGGTATACTACTGTCTGCAGGGCAACCGTTTGTAGAAGGGTTAGCCTGGTGAAGGGGGCACTGGAGTCTAGTGCACACCTCATCCTTGCCTGAGAGCCCAAAGTTCTGGGTGGAGGCTCGGTTCCCTCAGATCACCGAAGGAGCACCCAGCCTCACTTTACAGGCAGTATAAGGACTCCTATGGTTTCCTCAGCCCTCCTCCCCACAAACAGAAAGAGTGGTTGTCTGAGTGCTCTAAAGTGAATTCCGGTTTCTTCATGAAAATACACCCACCCCACCCCACCTCCATTCCCCCAAAAGAAAAAAAAATGCCAGGTGGTGGTGGAGCACACCTTTAATCTCAGCACTCGGGAGGCAGAGGCAGGTGGATCTCTGTGAGTTCCAGGCCAACCTGGTCTACAGAGTGAGTTTAAGGAGAGCCAAGGCTACACGAAGCAACAACCCTGTCTCAAAAAAATAATAAAAAAAGAACGAACAAAAGAAAGAAAGAAAAGAAGGAAGAAAGACAGACAGACAATGCACCCCCCCCCCCCCGCATGTAATGGTTGCAGACAAACTCTTAGAAACAGGCTGGAGAACGGCTCAGTTGGTAGAGTGCTTGGCTAAACCCGCACAGGCGGCTGAGTTTGATCCCCAGAAACCAGGTTTAAAGAAAAGCTCAGAGTACAGCAAGCACTTGTGATCCCAGGGCTGCAGAGGTGAGGGTGGCCGGATCCCTGGGCTCGCCAGCCCTGGGCTCACTGGCCATCTGGTCTAGCCCACTGAGTGACTTCCCAACCTGTGAGAGACACTGTGTCCAAATGGCAGACAAAGACTAAAGAAAGACACTTAAGGTTGACCTCTGGCCTCTTTGCACATACACCCAAACACATGAACATATGTACTCACATTTGCACACATATGCATACCCTCCCCCATTTCTGGAAAAAACTACCTGCTAGGAAATAGAGAAGTATCATTTACAGTAGCCTCTCACCTTTATTCACACACATGAATTAGCTTGAAAGGTGATGGCGCATATACACATGCACACTATCCAGTATTACAATATGAATTATGAAAACCATTTGGAAATAGTGTAAAATATCAGTGGTAAGCAAAATAACCCCACAAAACTATAGCATGAATTGTTAAATATGTTGTTATTCCAATCATATAAAATGCAGGTAGCTCAAGACAGAAACCTGTTTGCAAAAATGAAAATAAGAAGCATATTAAAGTACTATAATTGCTAGTATTTTCCCATGCCGTTTTAATATTAAAGTATGCATCAACAATAAATCTCTGATTTAGTTACATAAACAAGGGGTAGAAAAATTGTGTTGAATGCCCACCTAGAGGTGAGTGTGGTTTTACTCTAGAAATGACCATGTCTTTAAAAATTTAGTAAAAGATTATAAGGATGTATTGATCATTACTGGATAAAAACAAAATATTCTTTTGTTCCCATTTGCCTGACGCAGACTCCCATCATCTGTAACCTTTACGTGGCCTCCTTGCAGGTCCAGGCTGACCTCTGTCCCCCTCTTCAGAGGCTGTTGCTACTACTCACCCCTCATCTCTAACCTACTGCCTTAGGAATCTTTCTGAGCTGAATCCTGAGCAGGTGGGGTGGCTTCCTGGTGCCCTGGGGAGCTTAGTGTGGCATGTTGCCAAGACCTGTAGGGGCCACTGCCCAGGCTCCTGCTATTGTTTCTGCCCATGTTAGCAACATGGCTTGAATAAATGAGCAGATGAACAAAACCAAATTTGATGGGCTGCTCCTACCCCACTTACATTGAAGTCTGCATGCATGATTATTATGGTGATATTTTATTTGTACTGAAATGTGATTTTATTTGTATGTTAATAAATAAAGTTGCCTGGGGGTCAGAGCTATTAGCAAGCCATAGCAAAAGCTGGGCAGTGGTGGTGCACGCCTTTAATCCCAGCACTTGGGATGCAGAGCTAGGTAGATCTCTGTGTGTTCAAGGATACAGCCAGCATTGGAGACACATGCCTTTAATCTCAATGCCAACCATAGAAGACCTGGAGGTCTGTACAGACAGGCAGTGACTAGGAGGTCATGTGGTTGGGTTTACAACCAATGAGAAGGCAGAACAGAAACTATAAAAAAAGACAGACACAGAAAGTCGATCTCTTTCGGAGAGGTACAGCGACAGTGAAGGGTAAGGTTTTTAGCTCTTAGCTATTGCTCTGACCTTTTGGCTTTCATCTCTGTATTGGTTCTGTGTTTCTTATTTAATAAGACGGTTGGTTACATCTACAGATTATGACTATAAAGAAATTGATTGAGATCATGTCTGTTTCAGATGTAAATTGGAGTCTGAAATAAAATCTTGTCTCAGTGAGGAGAGCATTGGAAATGAATGTTTTTGTGAGCTTATGAATTTTGGTGAGTTTTTTTTTCTTTTGAACTTATATACAAAGGGGGATTTTGTTTGGAACTATGAAAGCTGGTCACTCTCTACATGTTCTTTTAGTAATAACACCTGTCTGATTTTTTTCCTAAACAAATATGAAAAGTCTATAAACTAACAATCTGTCCTTTACTTAAAATAATAATGTGTCTTCTTGATTCAATGTCACTTCACACAGAGCAGGAGCTGTCAGAACAATGGTGCACATATCTTAAAGCTGCGATCAACCCTATTCATCAACTGAGAGCAAACCTGAGGAGACAGCGCCACACTTCCCAGCATGCACCCTGCCGTAAGGGGTCTAATTCAGCAGTGGTTCTCGAAGAGGTCAGTATGTTGCCTTTTAAGAACATAAATGTGGCTGGGCGGTGGTGGCGCACACCTTTAATCCCAGCACTTGGGAGGCAGAGGCAGGTGGATTTCTGTGAGTTCGAGGCCAGCCTGTGCTACAGAGTGAGTTCTAGGACAGGTGCAAAGCTATACAGAGAAACCCTATCTTGAAAAACAAACACAAACCAACCAACAACAAAATAATGTGGATCTCTGTAAGTTTGAGGCCAGCCTCAACTTACAGAGAGACCCTGTGTTGAAATAAAACAAACAAACAGAAAACATACATAATGTAATTGTATTTTTTTTTTGTCTCAAATAGAACAGTTGAATCAAATACCTGCCTTGTATGTTCAAGTAGAGGGCTCCTCACCATCTTAAACATGTGCTTGGATATATGTACTTACCCACATTTTAACTCATCCTCATGCCTTCATCCTTGCCCCTCCTCCCAGCCCATTTCCAGATCCTGCCCCAGTACAGGGAGATGAAATTGTCTGACTATTGACATTCCCCATGGGCTCTTTCTACTCATTAAACCCACCTGCAACCCACAGAATCTCCTTCCTTTTTCAATCACGTCTCTTACATGACTTGGTCCCATCCCATATGAGTTTGGTCCCACAGAAGCTGACCTTTGTTTTGTGCCCTTCACATATCAAACCTGCTTCTATCTCAGAGCCCTTAGGTGAGCTGTTTTCTCTGTCAGGCTCGGCCACCTTCTGTCCCTTAGTTCTTTGTTGGCCAAATAAGTCTCAGTTGTTCCTAACCACCACTCTGGGTTCACACCTATTTCCTTCTCTGCATGTCTCTCTTTTGGTTTGTTTGGTTTGGTTTTTCCAGACAGAGTTTCTCTGTGTAGTTTTGGTGCCTGTCCTAGAACTCACTCTGTAGCCCAGGCTGGCCTTGAACTCACAGAGATCCGCCTGCTTCTGCCTCCTGAGTGCTGGAGTTAAAGACATGCGCCACCATCGCCTGACTCTGCATGCCTCTTTGTGTGCCTTTGCTTGCTAGTGTGTTGTGCTAGATGTGGGGTCTGAACTTCCATCTCTGCTTGTCAGCTACTATGTTAACTATAATATTACTCTGCTTTCACAGATAATAAAAAGCTTTAGCTATGCGTAGCTGTAGGCTAGTAGCAAGGATTGTGGAGAGCAAAGGTGTGATGGAAGTTTTCCCATCAACAATTCCAAATGTAGAACAGGGCGGCTGTGATTATTACTGGTGCGCCCAGTTTTGGTGATAGGTCTGGAATTCTCACTGAGGCTTGCTTGTTTGATGAGCCTTGGCTGGCTGGCAGCTCTTTTCTTCACAGATCTTCAAAAGGATTTTTCCCTCCTCTAATTTTTCACCACCTACTGGCTTCTGAGACTGTGTCTCTCAATAGAAATAACCTTGGGTGAATTGCAGTAATTTACACACTTCCTGTCTATGTGCCACATCCTCTAGGTTGACTCTGTCAAGAAACAATCCAAGGCTGTCTTTGCAAGACTTGATCAGGAGCGACAGGAAATAGAAAAAGACCTTTCAGACTGGAGTGTGAAGGTAAGTGTGATGCAACTTGTGATTGACTCTTTCAATCCATTTTTCATTTTTGTTAAATACAATTTCTTTCAGTTACTAGATTATTCTTCAGAAGAAAAGGCTAACCTGCTCAGTGAACAGCCCACGGAGTTAGAGACTTTGGAGTGCCCATACCCTGATCTGAAATCTTCCATCCTTACTGAGTTCTCGAACTTTACAGAGAAATATCAAAAGAAACTTAAAGACGTTGATCTGCAATTAGAAGACATACGCAGGTGATCAATATAACTCCTCGACTCCCGAATGCTGGCTTTGAGTTTGTGTTCAAAGTCACTACACTTTTGATTTAGTGTCTTCTAGATGCATGTGATTGCAATATAGCCAATACAGTTTGGACCTAGTTTGTTGCATAAAAAGAATGGGCCGTGTTTGACTTTATTATCGTATTTTATTGTGGTGCTGGGGATCTAACCCGGGGGCCTTAGACTTCTGTACCACTGCACCACCCTCTGCCTTTGATTTCGGAGACAGGTTTCACTCTGTAGCACGTGTGGCTTGGAACTCACTTAGCCACGTCCTTTCCTCTCGTACCTACGTTCTGCTTCCTCAGCCTTCCAAGTGCTGGAGCTACAGACGCGCACAATACACCCTGGAAAGAACATTGTGTGTTTACTTTGCTTTTTCTTGCTTTCAAAGTATTTCCTTGATATCAAGGCTTATAAGAGTTTTATTGAGCCTGGTGTAGTGGTGCACAACTTTAGTCCCAGCCCTCGGGAGGCAGAGGCAGGTGCATCTCTGTTCCAGAAAACCAGAAAGCTCATAAATCCTAATAACAGCCTTTATTAATAATAACAATATTATCCACAATGCTTTTTAATATAAACAATGATGTGTTTCATTTGATGAATATTTATTTAAAAATTCTTAATTGACAGCTGTGTCTGTTGAGTCCTTTGAAAAGGTTCATGAAGGAGGTTCTAGATTAGTCTAGAAGATGGACCTGTCTCATAGAAGGCTAACAGTATTAGAGGAAAGAAATGTGTAGCTGTACCCTAGCCAAATATGACCAACATGTAAACATTAATTGAAGAAAAGAGGAACAGTAAAGTCAAATGAGTTTCGGGGCTGGTTTCTTGGAGGAGGAAAGCTAACTTGAATCTAGAGGTGGTTTGCCTCAGTCATCTGCTGCTATGCACATAAAGGCTATAAATAAGCTCTAATCAGCACACCGGATGACCTACTTAATCATAATACGAATTGAACTTCCAATTTATCAGGATCTCACTTTGCTTTAATAAGACTATTTTCCTTTTTGCTTCTAGTTATTGGGTGTTGGGAGGATTCTCATGGTCTGCGTATGTGCACATCTGTGGGAGTGGGTGCACACTTTATTTATTATTTATATTTAATTTCTTTCTTTCATTCTTTCTTTTTTTTTGGGTTTTTTTTTTTTTTTTTTTTTTTTTTTTTTGGTTTTTTGAATCAGAGTTTCACTATGTAGCTCTGGCTATCCTAGAACTCACTATGTAGATCAGGCTGATCTTGAACTCCTCACAGAGATCCACCTGTCTCTGCCTTTTGAGTGCTGGAATTAAAAGGCTCTGCTGCAATGCCTGGCTGAGTGTATGCGTACTTTATAAGGAGGATTTGTCCATATTATCATCTTTAGTCAGTGTGACTTGGCTTTCTTGTTGTTTGCAACTAAAAGCTTTCCTAATTTGATGCAATTATTATGCAAATTCCATGCTTTAGGTTCACAATCCTCCCCAACCCTCCTTAACTCTTTGCTTTCAAACTTTAGTTAATTGTTATTTAATAATTTATCTCTATATAGACGCTTGTTGCAACTTATTCAGTCACAAAATGAATCCCCTTCATCACAATAATTTCCACAGCTCAAGAACATGCCACACAAATGTACTTATATATGCACTCATTGTTTCAATAGTGATTTGCTGCAGCAATCAAAGCCTGAGCAAAAGCCTCAAAAGGACTGGCTATTTTTGTAGATCATGTCCATAGATGTTATTTTATAGGTGAAAAGGCAGGAAAATGTACATTTACGAAATGGGACACTCTCCAGGAGTTACTGCAATTAGAGAGCCAAGGAGAGCATGTATGGTTCTTCTTGTGTGAGGCATGGAGGGGTTTTAACACAGCCACTCCCAGTTTTGACTTTGTGTGTCTGAAGCAATGCACAGAACTCAAGAGCAATCATTGGCTCTGGGGAGATTTCAGGGACACACTTGGCCAAAACAAATAACTTTTCAAGACAAAAAAAGGGGAAAAAAGCAACAAATAGAAAAAATTGTTGGCAACATGTGAGATGAAAGATATTTAAATACCTAATACATAAAGATATTTTGTAAATCAATTAATAATCAGCAAAGTATAAAACTTGCAAAGGAGATGAAGAAGGGAATGATTCCCCTTTTCCTGCAAATACTTTAGTGTCTATAAGCATAAATCAGACAAAACTCTCAATATTTGTTGTCTTAGTGTTCTATTGCTGTGAAGAAACGCCATAACCACAGCAACTCTTATGAAGGAAAACATTTAATTGGGGCTGGCTTACAGTTCCAGAGGTTTAGTCCATTATCGTCAAGGGCGAGAAGGATGGCAGCATGCAGGCAGACATGGTGCTGGAGACGTAGCTTGTGGTGATATTTTGTTTGTGCTTTAACAAATACATCTTGCCTGGAGATCAGAGTGTGGAGCTAGCTACTAGTTAACTATAGAGGCCAGGCAGTGATTGGCACACCTTTAATCCCAGCGCTTGGGAGGCAGAGGCAGATGGATCTCTATGAGTTCAAGGCTACCCTGGGCTACACAAGATTGAGCCAGTTTAAAAGAGAAACAGAGCCAGGCAGTGGTGGCACACACCTTTGATCCCAGCTCTTAGAATCTCATGCCTTTAATCTCAGCACGAGGGAGGTGGAGACAGGAAGTGATAAGGCTGGGCAGAGAGAGGAATATAAGGCAGGAGGAGGCATGAGCTCAGGTCTCTTTTCAGGCTGAGGATTTCATAGAGGTAAGAACTCTAGTGGCTGGCTGCTCTGCTTCTCTGATTTTTCAGCTTTTACCCCTGTATCTGACTCCAGGTTTTTATTAAGACCAATTAGGATCATGCTACAATAGCTGATGTGGATAAACTAACAGATTGCAGAGAGCAGGAAGAGAGAGAGCCACTGGGCATGGCTTGGACTTCTGAAAGCCCACTCCCAGTGACACACTTTTCTCCAACAAGGCCACACCTCCTAGTCCCTGTCAAGTAGAACTACTCCCTAATGACCAAGCATTCAAATATATGAGCCTATGGGGGCCGTTCCTATGCAAACCACCATACTGTGATCAAGTTGGCAGCACACAGAGGTGTGGACATGGTTCATAAGGCAATTATGTTCCACAGTATTAGGAGCTGGTAAGCACTACAAAGGCATAGGTTAGAGTCAGAATATGCTGGAATTTTATAAGGTAGGTTGCTGTTCTGGAGTAAAAAAAAAAATTGGGGGCTACGTCTTAGTTGGATGGTGACCTTGATGTGAAATCATGAAGTGGGTTGAGAGCTGGTTATGCAGATGTTAGACATAAGAACATTGTAGCCCATGTCCAGTGACTGTGTCTGACAAGGGTTCCATGTCCATGAACCCAGGGACAGATGAGCAGAGTGCTGGATAAGGTTCAAGAGGTAAGAGTGGATGATAAAATTAGTGTGTGTGTGTGTGTGTGTGTGTTGCTGGGAGTTCAACTCAAGTCCTCATGCCTATTCTGCCAGTGCTATACCATTGAACTCTATCCTCACTCAAGAAGTAGGCATTTAGAAACATGTCCAACCTCATCTTTTACTGTGAATGACCTTGAAGCTCTTAGGCCAGTGGTTCTTAACCTTCCTAGTGCTGCGACCCTTTAATACAGTTCCTCCTGTTGTGGTGACCCCACCTGTAAAATTATTTTCATTACTACTTCATAACTGTAATTTCACTACTGTTATGAATAATAATGTAAATATCTGCTATGCAGGATATCTGATCTGCGACTCCTGTGAAAGGGTCTTTCATCCTACAAAGGGGTTGTGACCCACCAGCTGAGAACCACTGTCTTGGACGGTGTGGAGCAGAAGAGCGCAGTGAGAAGACCCGGTCCATGTTGCAGCAGGATCACTTTGTCAATTCCTGTGCTTAATGATGGTGGGGGTGGGAGCACAAGAAAAGATTGGACACATAGACAGTTGTTAACCTGTTGCAAAATACAAGGCAAAGTATCAACTCTGGCCTCCATGTTTATTCTCTCTCTCTCTCTCTCTCTCTCTCTCTCTCTCTCTCTCTCTCCCTCCCTCCCTCCCTCCCTCCCTCCCTCTTTCTCTTTATGTTGAGGGAATACTATGTGTCTCTTCAGAATTAACATTGAAGGAAAAAGTCATTAAAGTGAAATGAATATTTGTCTTCAAGGCTGTTGGGCATTAATTTTTTCTCTTCTTACTGGAAGCAAATCTTCAGGACAACCTGTGCTGGTTAGTGTTTTGTCACACACATTAGCAGATGAGGTGACAGTGGTCTTGATCTAGGTGATAGGAAATCTTGAGCTCTTGGATGCTATTTGAGGGTAGAGGCAAGGCATCTGCAGGTAGATTTTTTCCCAAGGGTCATGAAAGAAAGTGCTCAGAGAATGCAGCAGGAGTTCCCTACTGCGCGTGTGTCTTGTTTAGATTAGGCATCTAAGAGGATGGTGTGGGCAGACTATAAGTGGATGGCTTTGTCTTGGAGGGGGTGATTTGCCATACTGGGTTTGGGGCATCCATATCAACATTTTGGGCTTTGTGCATTCAGAGTCCAGGAAGAAGATCTGGGCTGGAGTTATACACTGAGTCATCAGCATGAGATTGGACATGGTCACCAAAGCAACAACTCAGGAAAGAAAAGAAGCCAACTGCTCATCCCAAGACATGTGAGCAGGACAGTGTCAGAGAAAAGAAAAGATGGAGAAGAAACAAAAGACAGATAAATGATGGATGGATGGATAGATAGATAGATAGATAGACAGATGGATGGATGGATAGATAAACAGATGGATGGATAGATAGACAGATAGATGGATGGATAGGTAGATGGATAGATGGAGAGATAGATAGATGGATGGATAGGTGGATAGATAGATGGATGGATAAAGAGAGTTAGAGAGGGAAGACAGAGAAAGCAGCCTGTACTATCTGCAGAGGCGGTGATGACCTTCTGAATAAATGCTGTACATGTCAGTCAATGACTGATAGGTGTTTGGC